TTATCATATTATTATCATAAGTATTTTTATTATCATTATTGTTATGAGTATTATTAATATTGAGTATTATTATTATTAGTAGTAGTATATTATTATTATTATTATTATTATTATTATTATTATTATGAGTATTGTTATTATTGAGTATTATTATTATTATTATTATTATTATTATTATTATGAGTGTTATTATTATCAATGTTGTTTCATTATTATTATTATTATTATTATTATTATTATTATTATTATTATTATTATTATTATTATCATTATTATTATTATTATGAGTATTTTTATTATCAATAATATTATCATAATTAGTAATATTATCATTATTATTATGCGTATTATTAATATTGAATATTATTATTATTATCAGTAGTATATTATTATTATCATTATTATTATTAGTATTATTATTATTATTATTATGAGTATTGTTATTATTGAGTATTATTATTATTATTATTATTGTTAATATTATCATTATTATTATTAGTAGTAGTAGTATTAGTATTAGTAATATTAGTAGTATTAGTAGGATTGTTACTAGTATTAGTAATATTATTAGTAATGTTATTATTATTATTATTAGTACTAGTAATACTATTAGTATTAGTAGTAGTATTATTACTAGTATTACTATTAGTTTTAATATTATTATTTTTATTTATTTATTTATTTATTTATTTATTTATTTATTTATTTATTTATTTATTCATTCATTCATTCATTTATTTATTTATTTTTTATTAAAAAAATCTGCGCGTGTACATTGCATTTAGTCTTCTGAGGCGTAAGTCACTTATTATATAAGAATAAATGCCCGTAGTTGCTTCTCCTATGGCAGAAAACACTGGAATTCGTTGCTTTATTCACTAATCTTTTATTAGATGTTCCATTTTGGAGCAGAAACCTGATTAGCAACTTTGTTTGGACACACAGCTAATATTATCATTAAATCCACACATGCAGAAGATCAATATGAGTGTGTATTTTGTCAGTGCGCTCATGTCCATATGCTTTATTATACACTCTGCACATACATCGGTGGCTTTTCTCTTTATCTCTTTGTACTGCTGTATGCTTTGGGAATCCAAACACAGCCGTCCGCTCGGTTTACACAGAAGATCACAGTGGTTTTAAAGGGATTCGCAGGCTGCTTTGATCTGAGATAATTACTTGATTTATTTCATAGCACGCTAAAAGCCTTGAAACATCGCAAGCCAAATAAGCTGATTCTGAAATAGATGTGATGTTCTGCGCGCTGACAGATCTGTGTGTGTTTGTGTGTGTGTGTTTAAACAGCCATGACTTCATCGGAGAGTACAGCACAAGTTATAGAGAGCTGTCAAGAGGCCAGTCGCAGTTTAATGTGTATGAGGTAAGCTTTACATTTTGATTCATTTGCAGAATGAATATATGAGTAATGGGTGGCATGGTGGTTAGCTCTGTGGCCTCACAGCAAGAAGGCCACTGGTTCGAGTCCTAGCTGGGTCAGTTGGGAGTTCTGTGTGGAGTTTGCATGTTCTCCCCGTGTTAGCGTGGGTTTCCTCAGGGTGCTCCGGTTTCCCCAACTGTCCAGACACATGCGCTATAGGGCAATTGATCAAGTAAATTGGCCGTAGTGTATGATTGTGTGTTTCCCAGTACTGGGTTGCAGCTGGAAGGGTACCCGCTGTGTAAAACATATGCTGGAATATTTGGCGGTGATGACTAAAGGGACTAAGCCGAAGGAAACTGAATGAATGTATGGGTTATAGTACAACAGTTATTGATACAGTTGACCCAATGAACTGGGTTTGACTGGGTTGTGTGATCAAGCTTATATGTTTTTGCTTTGTGGCATTGATTCTAGATAGTTCCAAGAGTTCAGGCAGTAATAAATATTGCAGTTATTATTGTGTAATGTTGTATTT